TGGGACACAGTTCTCTAGAAGGGACCTTTGGGGACCTGGGGCTCATCCACTCAACTTCTGGCTGCCATGGGGGCTTACACAATGGTTTGGCACTAGGTGCTCAAGCCAGAGCTGGCAATATTCAGCAGCACAGAGCTTGTGGAGCATGGACTCCATGGCTGGTAAAGGGACTCACACAGTGAATTCCAGTGGCCTCTCTGCAGGGGGAGGAATCAAGATTTCAGACTCAGAATCTAGTCTAAAGCTGCTTTAGAGAAGATGCCTTTCTCTGTGAAGCATGTTTTTCAGTCCTTTAACCATCTTACAACTTCACCTGGAGTTCTCTCTGGTTCCTGACTATCCTCCTTGAACTGTAGACACCAAAACCAGACACACCATTGCAAACAACAGCTGTCACACCACCACCAAACCGAGCTGACACAGAAGCAACCCTATTTCTGACTCTTTGGCTGGATAATTCTACCAGTGACAAGGGAACACTCGTTCTCAGAGCTGCCAGTCGAGGACTTTCCAGCACTGAAAGTGGCATGCAAAGGAAAGAAACCTTCACCAGACACATAGATGGAGAAAGAGGCACTTACCCACTTGTTCCAGGTCTCTGGGTCTGAGAGAAGCGCCAGTCTGTGTTAGGCTGAGCTTGCTGCAGAGAAAATAGAAGAGTTTTAATACCTCCATTCTTGCCTTTGAAAATGAAAGCGAACTGATCCTGTATTATTTCAGTCTGGAATATCAGCGTGTCCTTTCCAAGTAAAGCAAATCAATTAGAACAAAAAGAAAGCTCCCCCTCCCCCTTTCTCGAGTATTTCTGAACCAGCATGAATACTAAAAAGCATGACAAAAACTATTCAGCGAGTAATCTTCCAAAGCAGCTCAGGAAACCAGGCTGTGAAAGAAATGAAGCATGAAATAAACTGATAAGGGCATCAATTCAGCAGGAGCAATGGTACCAAAGTAATAAGCTTGGAGGGGGGGGTGGGGGGTGGCAGAGTTAATTGATACTGAGAAAGATGCTTTTAATGCCAGAAGGTAAAATGATAACAGACTTTCCTAATCTGTCCTTCTTCTGTCCTTAAAAAGGCCTGCCTGAGATCTTGATTTCACACATTGTATTTGAATGACTTTTCCTAGATGCTGTGACCTCGGAGCATTGCAATATTTTTCAGTCCGCAGAGAAAAGAATGAACTTCCGACAGCAAAAGAAAAAAGCGTTATTTGTTTAGGAGACACAATAAACTTCGGACACAGCAGCACACTTTGTAACTTCATTAGCGAGCCCCTGTATCTCTTTCTGCCTGTGTTATTTTATCATCAGACAATGGACATTTTGTAAATAAGGAAGGATGCGAAGCAGGCTTCTATATTCCTGTTTGAATCACGCCTTTGTGAAGAGCACTAAATAGTAGAACTGTTTTCTGTCTCGAAGATGCATACTTCCGAAAATCATAATCTTCTTAATTAACTCCAGAATGAAAACATGCTACCTGGAAAGGACAATGTTTCTCTCAGTTACCTTAGGAATGAGCAGTTCATAGTCCGTTACAGTGGAACATCAATTTTATAGGATTTTTCTGCTTGTACATGCAATTACTAAGGAAAAGTGAAGATGGGTACAGCTGACCTAGATTTTTATTTAGTAGATGTGATTTCACTAATTTCTTCACAGCTTTGATGATTCTCATGAAAGAATATATTAGAATAAATTACTGCCCTAAAATAGAGTCCCCCTGGTATCCAGGCAGCATTAAAATTAAGCCGTTTAAATACTTGCCCTTCAGATTTCCGATACACATTTTTGCACACGCTGACACACAATCCTGCACTAGATAAGCCCTTCCCAAACTATATTTTGGGTTCCTGTTGTAATTACCGCTTTCAAATTCAGGGCAGGCATTTATGACACAAAATTACTTTACTTTTTATATCCCAAAGTTATAAAATCTACAGCTAAACACAGTCACCTACATCTATATTTAGACATCTGAATACAAGCGGCTGAAGTTTTCAAAGCTTGCCGGTGTCTAGGTCCCTGCAAGCCCAAGGGCACATAAGGTCACCGGGATCTTTGCGAAAAATGTCAGTACGTTCAGTGCTGAACAGTGAATTCAGCCCCTCGCTTAAAATGGCCAAGCTGGAAAATGATCCCTTGCCAGGGCACAATCACTTATTAATAGCACTTGAGAGTTAAGAAATGAGAAATTTCTACAATGCACCTCTAAAACAGAGCAAAAGAAACACTGACAAACTTTGCTTTCAGGTAACCTCCTCTCGCGTCACGGTTTGTATGTCGTGCAGAATAAAGGAGTTAAACAGAATCAGGAAGTTAAACACCAAAAAAACATGTTCCTGACCGCACTGAGAATCACTTTAAAAAGCAAAGAGTACCAACGGGGCCAAGGGGACACTCTACACTTCTACGAACACACAGTCTTTGATTTTACAGTGCCGACCAGCCCTTTCCCCCACCTCCACCAAGCCGAGCCAAAGCTTTCACCTGGCCACCTCCCAGGAGGTGACAATGACACATGTTCCCTGAAGCCACTTTCTTAGGTGGAAGGACAGACAGAGAACAGCCAACTGGCCTGGATATTACCGACCGTTGCACTTAGCAGGCAGGACAGTAAGAAACACCCATCTCTTACCCCATCGCAGGGACTCGCTAAGGTGCTGGTCACCTGCTCATAGGCAGCCACGGTCTCCGCAGTGCTAGAATGGCTGAAAGGTTTTACAAAGAGAAAATCGCTCTGGTCAGACATGGGTGAGAAACAGGAGGTGTAATTCTGTGCCTGGGAGGTCAAGCCCGCTCCTCCCACATCCAGGTACTTGATGAAGCCATCTGGCTTCATCTGCCCATGGAAACGCGAGGCGGGTTTGCGGCCAGTCCCTCGGCAGCAATCTGCAAAGGTCCAGCTGGCAGCACCAGCTTTGAGACACCGGGCAGCCACCACAGCAAACATCACGCAGGACACAAGGGAAATGGACACCAAGGAGATGATGAGGTAAAGAGTTAGGTTGGTATCCTTGGGAGAAGATTTGGGGAGGTCCAAAGACTTGGCGAAGTCCTGCGCACTGTTTTCCTCCGGAGAAATTACTATTACCACGGAGGCCGAGAGGGGTGGTGTCCCATTGTCCCTCACTTCGACCACCAGCCTGTGGGAATCTTCTGACTCCCTGAGAGCCTGTGCAACCCTTATCTCTCCAGAGCGGTGTTCCACTTGGAAAGGCAAAGCCTCAGCTGTCTCCTGCAGCTGGTAGGACAGCCAGGCATTATGGCCACTATCAGCATCAACAGCTACAATTTTGGTGACCAGATAGCCAGGTTCTGCCAAGGCCGGGATGGTTTGGTGGAAGGCAGAGCCCTTAGGGACAGATGGGTAGACAATGGTGGGGGCATTGTCATTCTCATCCAGGATGAACACATGGACCACAGCAGTGCTACTCAGAGCAGGAGACCCACCATCCTTCACCTCCACAGGCACCTGGAACACCTTGTCCTGCTCATAGTCCAGAGCCCGCACAGTGCAGATGGTGCCATTGTCCTGGTCTATCCGGAAGTAGGTTGAGATGGGTACATGCTGCATCCCATTGTCCAGGATGGAGTAAGACAGCTTGGCGTTGCTACCCTCATCAGGATCAGATGCTGACACTGAAAAGACAGAAGTTCCAGGAAGGGAGTTTTCCTGAACATGAGCTGTATCGAAAGGGCTGGAAAAATTTGGTGCATTATCATTCACGTCAGCAATTCGGAGGTAAAAGGTTTTTTGTGTGGCCCTCTGTGGGGACCCTGAATCCACAGCCCGCACCGTGATGTTATATCCACTGGCCTTCTCCCGATCAAGGGGACCATTTGTGACCAGCGAGAAATGCTCTTTAAAAGACGACACCAGTTTAAATGGGAGCTCTTTTGATATCTGCAGATGGACCTGCCCATTGTCACCAGAATCACTGTCCTTCACACCAATGAGGGCAATCACCGTTCCCGTGGTTGCATCCTCCTGCACTGGGCTAGAGAGAGAGGTCAGCACGATCTCTGGGCTGTTATCGTTGATATCAATTAATTCCACTCGCAGGTGACAGTGTCCTTCCATGGCTGGGGATCCCTTATCCCTGGCTCGAACCGCAATCTCGTAAGCACTGGATTCCTCATAATCCAGCGGGGCTTTGGTTCTGATCTCCCCTGTCCGGGGATCTAAGGAGAACAGCTTGGTGAATTTACCAGGTACATTATTGCTAACTTTGAAAGAATATTCCACATCCCCATTGGGACCTTCATCCAGGTCAGTGACATTCAACTTGGTGACCAGAGTGCCCACTGGCACGTTCTCCTCCAGATGTACCTTGGATATGGGTGGGTCGCAGACAGGAGGGTTGTCATTTGCATCCAGGACATGGATGCTAACCTTGGCAGTGCCAGACTTCACCGGATTTCCTCCATCCAGGGCTGTCAGTGTTAGGTGATGAACAGACACTTTCTCTCTATCCAGTGCTTTTTCAAGTATGATCTCGGGCATTTTAACACCATCTCCTCTCACGTTGATACTCAGGGCAAAATGCTCGCTGGGGCTGAGCTCATAGGTGGAGATGGAGTTGGAGCCCATATCCGGGTCTTCTGCTACCTCCAGGGGTAGCCGAGTCCCAGGGTTGGCTACCTCAGTGATCTCCAAGACCACCTCTGGCTTGGGGAACTGGGGCGCGTTGTCGTTGACGTCGAGGACATCCACCTCAACACGGTGGAGCTGGAGGGGATTCTCCATGACGAGTTGAAGGTGCAGGGAGCATGTGGGGCTCTGCCCGCACAGTGCCTCCCGGTCCAGCCTGCTGTTGAGGAGCAGCACACCCGCAGCCAGGTCCACCTGGAAGTGCCGCTGCCCACCCTCGCTCACCAGGCGCAGGTTGCGGGTTGTCAGGCTCCGCACCTCCACCCCCAGGTCCTTGGCCAGGTCGCCCACCGAGGAGCCTGGCTCTCGGTCCTCGGGCACGGAGTAGCGGAGCTGGGAGCTGCAGGGAGCCGGCAGGCAGG